AGCTTGCGTTTTTGAAAAACAACCACTCTATCATTCTATTGTAAGTGTTTTGAAACGCATTAGAATAGAAATACGGAATTTTCGGAAGAAACAAATAGCAAAGTTTACTTCCAATAAGTTGTTACCACATGTTCATGAACCGCTTAAATACACATACACCTTTGAAGCCTCTCAAACACAAAATTTTAATTTACCTTGCCACCCAGCTGGACATTCTCTGCATTCGCCTGCAGCTTTCTGATTTTGTCGGCGATGGCCTTCCTGTCCATGGTTCCCACTTGAGAGTGTTACTTCTATAAAAGGACAATTCAAAGATATCTGCCGTCGCTTTTGAAATAAGGACACATGACTCGTGATTATTGTAAACAAAACAAACAAACTATCGATCGGAATTATAAAAGTACTTCCGGCTTAAAACTCAATCAGATAGCTTTCGCTTTCTCTGGAGGACCATATACAGACTTGAAGCTCACTGTTGAGTTTGTTCAAAAAAGTCATCCAACAATGGCAAAACAGAGGAAAACTGGAAAATTCTGAAAGATTGCTGTGTAAAATTCGGACTTCGTAGCAGCCCCACCTTGTTATAGGATGTGGGCAACTACGCAGTGGCACAGTTCCAATAAGTGACGTCACCGTCTCACTGATTCACATGAGCTTCTATCGGTCAAATCGTCTTCGTTTTAAGCCCGTAACATCTCCTTGAAAATCCTAGTCGTGTAGAGTGCTTCAAAGCATCTTTGGAAGTAACTTAAGGAGTTGCCTGGCTTCAAATCCGTTTTGTTTTATCACTTTTTATCGATCACAATAATTTCTTTTGTTATTTTGGTCAATAACGTCGTTATTAACAACTGTACAATCTACATTTTTTCAGATGAGCTTATTCGGTAAGATTTTTGGTGGGAAGAAGCAGGATGTTGCTCCGAATACACAAGATGCTATCCAAAAACTGCGAGAAACCGAGGAAATGTTGATCAAAAAGCAGGACTTTTTGGAAAAGAAGATTAAAGATGTAGGTTAATGATAATGTGGAGAAACTTTTTTCAACCTTGATTAAAGAAAGCTCTAAAACATGGGCATAATTTATCCGGGATAGCGAAGTGTTTTTCTTTTTCCATTTCAAGTAAAAGAGAGGGCTTTTACATCGTGAACGCTTGAATAACTTTCAAATTTATTTACTTTGATTACGTAATGTTAATGTCTGTATGAATTTCGAAATACTTCGATTTTTTGGATGTTTATCTTTCCATTGATTGTTTTTCGCCTCTAGTTTTGCTCCATTTACGA